TGTTGTTTTTGAACATTCGCTACTGAATCCTCATTCTTTCTCCCTGACAGAACGATCTGACCACATTATGGATTCAGCGAATGCTACAGATCTGCAGAACTTTTTATCCCACAACAATACACGCATGGATCGTCAGGAGGAGCAGGTGCTAGCTACAGGAAGGGCGGTGCAAGCCTTGGTAGCGCAGGTGTCTGAGCTCACCAGAAGAAATATATTTCTGATTCTCTAGCAGCCGGGCTCATCCGCCCCTCCTCTTCTCCCGCTGGGGCAGGGGTTTTTTCGTGGTCAAGAAGGACGGTTCTCTGCAACCATGCATCGATTACCGGGGCCGAACGACATCACGGTAAAGAATACTTACCCTTTGCCGTTGATGAATTTCCTTGGAGAAATCCTCGTCCTCAACTCTCCTCTCGGTAAGACTACAATGGGCAGCCCGATTCCACAACTGCCAAGCCCTGCTGGATTCCGGAGCAGAGGGTAATTTCATGGACTACAGTCAAATCCCCATAGTTCCTCTCTGCCACAAAATCTCTGTTAACGCACTCAATGGACATAACCTTCCCAGTGCAGGTTGAACTTCCTCAACTGTTGAAGGAAGTACAACCTCTGCTGGGCCTTTTTAACAATGGACTCAATAATGTGAGTGTCCCACTTCAGGTCCTGAGAGATAGTGGTGCCCAGGAACCTGAATGACTCCACTGTTGTTACAGTGTTGTCCATGATGGTGATTGGTGTGACGCTAATTTCCTAAAAGTGAAAACAGAGGAGATCATTTTGATCCTAAGGGTATTGGAGACCATACGCCTGTATTTGTTCACAATCAGGAAATTGCACATGTGCAATCTTACAAGTATCTAGGTGTGTATATAGACAAATCTCTTATGGGACAAGCATGTTCATTGGGTCTGTGAACGACTTTCACAAAGATTATATTTCGTACGTAGACTGTGGTTTTATGGTGTTGATAGTAAAATTATTTTGCTTTTTTATCAATCTATATTAGAAAGTGTCATTACATTAGGTATGGTTTGTCTACCTGGTATGGAAACCTTAACGTAAAATCCAAAACAAGGATACAAGGTATTGTATGAACTGCTATGAAATTGACAGGACAAAAAGACTATCCCAGTATTCAGTCTCTTTTTGAAAATGTACATTGAAAGAGGTCAAAAGGATTTTAAGTGATCCGTCCCATGTTTTACATTCCAGCTATGAACTTTTACCCTCTGGGAGAAGGTACATGATCCCCACGCTGCAAATTGAACAGATTCAAAAATTAGTTTGTGCCGGTATCTATCAGGTTGCTGAATCTGGAGAAGTGAGTGGAGCAGTTTTTTTAATCTGATATCTGTGATGGTGTATATGGATGTCTATTGTATGCATAATATTTTTAATATTCTTAGGTGTACCAGGTGATGTTGGAATGTTGGTTTTGAGTCTACTCCAAATGTGGACAATAAAGACAATAAAGTATATTTAATTTAATTTCATTTACTGTACTTTGTAATTCTTCTCTCTATTTCCCTACAGCGGCTAATGAACCTGAAGTCTTGCACATTCACAGAAAACGGCTCACTTTCGCATTGAAAAACAAGGTGGATTATTTAACAAGTAGATAGATAATGACTGCAGTCC